ACAGCTGTGTCCTTCCACTGGTGTAGGCTTGATCTTGGTGAAAGAATTGTGTTTGCATGGTGTACTCAAAGTATGTATTGCTTTCCCTGATAATAATGTCCATCAGGGGTTCATCGAAGAATAACTGAAAGCATTCTAGTTCAGTGACATTGTTCCCAAGTGTACATGCTGGCTGTATTCCACTTTGTGTTTCGTCAAAGTCATGGGGACTGGGAACAAACTTGTCACCTTGCTGCCAATCCCAGATGTGGTCAGCTGGTGGATTCTGGATATTGAAATGTTGTTATGGTTGTGCAGGTTGTGGTTGTGCAGGGTGTGGTTGTGGGAGTGTGGGGATGGGTGAGGCTGGTTGTGGTTGCGCAGAGTCAGCAGCGTTGGTAGTAGCGTGGCCCGCTGCTGGTGCCATATGACTCATGCCACCATCACTATCACCACCACCACCTGCTGCCTCACTCACATCATTCATACCCACCATAACAATATCGTCATCTTCACTATCAGTTCATGGTGTAGGGTCATGGGATGTGTTCCGAGATTTACTCTTTCCCCTTGGAACAGCATGTGACACACTACCAGACCGCATGCTACGTTGTATATACTGCCACTTCACTGGGGAATATTCACCCTCACTGTCGCAACTAGAACTGCTTTTAACCCTTTGACTGTTTCCGACGTATAAATACGTCTTACGAGCCAATGTTTCTGACGTATTTATACGCATAAATTCTAGCAGCTTCAAATCAAGCAGGAGAAAGCTGGTAGGCCCACATGTGAGAGAATGGGTCTCCATGGTCAGTGTGCACCATATAAAAAAAATCGGGGAGCCAGTGGTGCATTGTGGGAATGCCATTTCAGTTGTCATTTTTCAGCATGTCTAGCGGTAAGAAATATGTGATTCCCCAGCAAATCTGGGACTCTTCTCTTCCCAAGCGATGCTCTAACACAGATGGAAGTGTCAGTGAAGATCAATTTCATGATTTGGAGGAGTTTGAGACCAAAAGCAATGGAGGAGGAGGAGGGGGAGGAGGGGAGGAAGAGGAGGAGGAGGAGGAGGAGGAGGAGGGAAGGAAGAGGAGGAGGAGGAGGAGGAGGAGGAGGAGGAGAAGAGGAGGAGGAGGAAGGAGGAAGAAGAAGATGTAATAATATTGTTCCCTTGAAGCAAGAAAAAAAAAAGTCCACCCCATGACAGTGACAAGATAAGGGGAGATAACATCTGATAAGAGCTGACTTTGATGAGCATAAAGGAGGGTAATATTACATGACTATCGCCCTCCCTTTGTTTTTGCTGGTACACAAACATTTCTGTCTGTCTATTTGTCTGTCTGTCAAGCTCCCTGTCTGTCCATCTAGCTCTCTGTCTCAGAGAGAGCCACAAGACTGTGTCATCACGTTTACTCACATCTTCAAGCAGAGTATAGCACTTTGTCTGGATTTCTTGGGTTATCCTAGGTAATTTACACTATGTATACTTGTATTTATGTGTACCTGTGAGACAGAGATAGGCAGACAGATAGAATGAGAGACAGATTGAAAGATATAGAATGAGGGAGAAAGATAATTAGATAGAATGGAGGAGGGGAAGCAGCATCCGACCCCATTGTTTTGACAGGCGGTAGGGGTAGTGACTAATGAGACAATATGTCACTTTGACAGCTGCCGACTTCTGACTCAAAACAATTATAAGCCACACACTCGCACACAAGACAAGGAGGAGGAGAAGGAGGAGGAGGAGGAGGAGAAGGAGAAGGAGAAGGAGAAGGAGAAGGAGAAGGAGAAAGAGGAGGAGGAGGAGGAGGAGGAGGAGGAGAAGAAGGAGAAGGAGGAGGAGAAGAAGGAGAAGGAGGAGGAGGAGAAGGAGGAGGAGAAGGAGGAGAAGGAGGAGGAGGAGAAGGAGGAGGAGAAGGAGGAGGAGGAGAAGGAGGAGGAGAAGGAGGAGGAGGAGAAGGAGGAGAAGGAGGAGGAGGAGGAGGAGGAGAAGGAGAAGGAGGAGGAGGAGAAGGAGGATGAGAAGGAGGAGGAGGAGGAGGATGATTGTTTGTTTGTTTTTGTAAACAAGTTTTGTAAACAATATATTGATAATTATGTTTGTGTGCTTATTGTGTTGTATACAACGAGTGTATATATATACATTGCACCTTACTTTGGTCTCATAGGCCACATAAGTTATGTGAAAAAATAAAATAGTGAAAAAAACAAAAAACCTTCAATTACAAGTAAACTAAAGTTTACCGGGTGAGCGGCAGTCGCCGCTGTTGCCATACGCGGCTCATTTTCTGCAAACTTCACGGCTCTATATCTCGGTAAGTACCGATGGCAAAAAATCTTTTTTTGGACTAAAACACTCAGAAAAATAATCTTAACATTTTCATAAGAAAAAATAATTTTTTTTTTTTTTGAATATTTGGCGACATAGAATGACAGTTTCAGAGAGGGGCCTGAAACAGTCAAAGGGTTAATAGCTTTGAAATCACTCATTTTCACTGCTCACATCTGAGTCTTGTACACGGGCAAATAGTTTCCTCTTTCGTCCTGGTATAGGTGAATGTGAACGAGCCAGCCCAACACCAGGAGTGGAAGGTCGTGGGTCATCTGGGTTTTCATCACTAATTACGTTATCCTGGGCACTGTTTTCGGTCACACCTGCTTGAAAACCATGGAATTCACTTTCACTGACACTTCCATCACTGTTAGAGCTATCACTTGGGAACAAAAGACCTATAGTCTGCCGAGGAGTGAGGTACTTATTACTGCGAGGCATCGTGAAAATGGACTACCAAGATGGCGTTCCCATACTGCACCACTGAGTATCAGAGTTTTTCACAGGGTGCACACCCACCACTCAGACCCATTCTCTCTCATGTAGGCCTACCAGCCCTCTCCCGCTTGATTTGAAGCTGCTAGAATTTATGCGTATAGATACGTCAAACACGGTGGCTCGTAAGACGTATATATATGACCGAAACAGTCAAGGGGTTAATTTCAGTTTTGAAAATGACCTTTCGCAACTTGCGACTAAAAATGCGATTGTAAGCAGTAATCTGTATGAAACACACAGCAGCGGAAAGACATCCCTCCCATACTGCAGTAAAGACTCCAGAGCATCTTTAGGATCAGCTCGAAGGAGCATCACAAAATCAGTAATTTCGTCATGTAACTGAATGGCTGCCATATCATTATCATAATAACTTGCAAAGTCTGAACATTCCTTTTTTAATTTCTCTCTTGTTCATCTTCAATTACTACTGAATTCAAGTTCAGAAGTGAAAATTGGTCACTGAGTCCTTGAAGACAGACACTGTGGTCTTCAATTTCTGTTTTTAAATGGTTCACAGTCTCTACCATTACTCTATTCAATTCATCTTGTGCTGTCAGTCCACTATCTCTTGTAGACTGTCCAGGCATCATTATTCTCCTTGGTGATGAAACTGGGTACCAAAAATTTAATAAAGCTATAAACGGGAACTGTTGAATAGAGCTCAGTGGCGATCCTGCATTAGATTTGGTTTCCCTTGAAAATTCTCCTTCCAGCAGGTGTTGAAGGCTTGCAATAACATTGTGATACTCTTTGTGGTTTATTTGTTCAGCATCATGGCAGGAACTCCATCTTGTGTCACACTGTCTTTTCACAGTCCGAGTGACAAATGATTTTAACACTTCCCAACGAGAAGTAGATAAAAAAAAAATTAAGAGTTTTTCCAGAATGCCAAAAAATGTAACAACAGCAGGTTGCACCTCACACACACAGGCCAAATTGAGGCTGTGGTTCCTACTGTTCATAAACACAGCTTTTGGGTTATCTTCAAGAATTTTTTGTTGAACACCTCTTCTCACTCCAGCCATAACTGTTGTGCTATCATATGCTCGGCCATGACAGTCATTCATGGAAATTTTGTCTTCCAGTTTTTCCAGATTTTTTTTTGCTAGGCTGACTGCATCTTTCTTGTTGACTAGAAAAAATCCCAGAAATATCTCCTTTATTTCTACTTTTTTGTTTTCATCAATACGAATGTAACGCAGAATTTCAGAAACCCGATTTTCATGGGCAATATCTGGAGTTGAATTCAGCATTATGCTGAAACATTTTGCATCCTTAATTTCGGAAACTATATTTTTCTTAACAGTTTCACCAAGAAGATCTATTATTTCGTATTGAATTCTGTTGGACAAGTAGGTGACACTTTTTGGTTTCTCTTCCCCTCTCTGCAAATGTTCTGCTAAGATTACATCATACTTAGCCAAAAGTCTGATTGTTGCTAGAAAGTTTCCTGCATTTTCACCAACTGTCTCCTCAGGTTCTGAAAACCTAGATATTCCTTCTTCTTGATGTCCACGATAGGCCAGATCCTGTTTTGCCGAAAAGGCTATAACCTCGACAATCCGTTCAGTTATAGCTTTCCATTTTTTCTTTTCAGCAGACATTTGCTGTTGAAGTTCAGCATCTATCATAGTTGAATGATGGAGTCAACCTACGAGGTTCAGATATTCCCTCATGTGTGCTCTATGAGAAGGGCTTTTCTCATGGTCAGGTATTCGTTAAAGGAATAAAGGGCTAACCACTGCCTCTGTAGTGTGGTGAGCCTCCAAAAATTGATTTATCACTGCTTAACTTTCAAAATCACTATCTTATTTTCCTCTCTAATTGGATACTCCCCCCCCCATTTGGATGCCAAGGACCACTGCCCCTTTGGCCCCTCCCTCTGCATGCCACTGAGTGAAGGGAAGGTTGGAGGGAGGGGGTAAAGGAGGTTTTGTGTACAAGGGGCTTAGATTTTCAGCAAGCTTGCATGACTGTTAGATAGGAGCACATGGAGACAATTGGTTTTTAGGACTTGACATGCTATTGGAGTATAAGCAAAGTAACATTTACAAAGGGATTCAGGGAAACTGGCAGGCCGGACTTGATTCCTGGAGATGGGAAGTACAGTGCCAGCACTTTGAAGGAGGGGTGTTAATGTTGCAGTTTTATAACTGTAGTGTAAGCATGCCTCTGGCAAGACAGTGATGGTGTGAATGATGAAAGTTTTTTTTTTCGGCCCACCTTACCTTGGTGGGAAACAGCTGATGTGTTAATTATAAAAAAAATATAAAAATTTGCTTTGTAAATTAAACATCCTCAGAATATCTAATACTGTTGAAATCTTAGTACAAATTGTTTTGTAAAAAGATCTCATTTAACTTTTCTTTTACAGTTGGCGTTTGCAGTGTCAGTACTGTAGTAAACCTACCATGCTGACACCCAGTATCAGCACACTGAAGAAAGTGATGAAAGTGCTGAGATCAGCTAGTATCAGCACCAAGTTTAGTAAGGCATCCAACACTGTCTGAATTACCGAGTACAACTGTTATCAGCACCAAGTTTAATGAAGTATACTACACCATGTGAAATACTGAGTACAGCTGTCAGCACCTAGTTTTATGAAATATACTATACTGCCTGAAATACTGAGTTCAACTACTGCCAGCATCAAGTTTAATGAAGCATACTATACTGTCTGAAACACTGAGTACAACTGTTGTCAGCAACAATTAACTTAATATAGGATAACATAAGGTTTGTTTATGGTATATTTAAAGCTATATGACCTTCACTAACACCCACTTAAACAACTTACACAGCCAGTTTCAGCATCCACTTAACTTATACAACCTACCTCAGCACCCACTTACACAACCTACCTCAGCACCCACTTACACAACCTGCCTCAGCACCCACTTACACAACCTGCCTCAGTTATTTTAAAACTTATTAAAGTTAAAAGAGTTCACACATTACTGAAACTTAATACATTATTTATTAAAATTTACAAAGAAAAAACATTGTAATATTTGATAGTGAATACAAACTTCATTGTAAATATTTTATGACAATATTTTTTCTTTTAAATCTGTGTTAGTTACAAGAGTTCATATGAAAAGAATTTCCTATAAGTTATCCAATATTTTTTCAGAAAAACCTTCACTGTAGACCCTCATAAATGTGAGACAATATGGGGAGAGAGAGCACAGTAAGTATATTGTTTTGTGAAGTACAGTAAGTCTGTTGTTATGTGAAGCACAGTAAGTCTATTGTTGTGTGAAGTGCATTAAGTCTATTGTTATGTGAAGTACATTAGTGCATAACAGACAAAAATTACTGATTTTTTTTGTGTGTTAAAAATTTGAAATAAATCAGAGGCAACATGAAGGTAATGAAGAAACTCCATCAGTGTTCTGTTTGTAATAAAGTTTTTCCAAATAATTCTAAACTCTTGAGACATAACGTTACTCATACAGGAGAGAAGCCATATCATTGTTCAGTGTGTCTGAAAGACTTTGCTAGAAAATTCTCACTAATACAACATCAGAGAGTTCATACAGGAGATAAACCATTTCAGTGTTTACTGTGTCTGAAAGACTTTGCTACCAAAGCCTCACTAAATCAACATCAGGTAGTTCATACAGGAGAGAAACCATTTCAGTGTTTAGTGTGTTTGAAAGACTTTACTCATAAATCCTCACTGAAACAACATCAGAGACTTCATACAGGAGAGAAACCATTTCAGTGTTCAGTGTGTCTGAAAGCTTTTGCTAGAAAAACCTTACTAAATATACATGAGAGAATTCATTCAGGAGAGAAACCATTTCATTGTTCAGAGTGTTTGAAAGACTTCACTGAGAAATCTGCACTAAAGAAACATCAGAGAGTTCATACAGGAGAGAAACCATTTCAGTGTTTAGTGTGTCTGAAAGCCTTTGTTAGAAAATCCTTACTAGACAAACATAAGATAGTTCATACAGGAGAGAAGCCTTATCATTGTTCAGTGTGTCTGAAAGACTTTACTTATAAATTCTCACTAGACAAACATGAGAGAGTTCATACAGGAGAGAAGGACTATCAGTGCTCAGTGTGTTCACAACAATTTTCAGTAAAATGTTCTCTAGTGAGACACATGAAGACTCATACAGAAGAAACAACACATGAGTGTCCAGAGTGTCAGAAAGTATTTTCAAGTGACTCTCTTTTAGTTAAGCACATGACACTTCATAAAGAACATAAACCATACAAGTGTTCAAGGTGTCTGGAAAGTTTTTCCGATAAAACAAACTTAGTAAATCATATGATAACTCACATATGAGGGAGAGTACATAGCAATGTGAATGTTTTAAAAACTTCTTAAGAAAATCTCGTCTTATAAAACCTCAGGAAAGTGTTTTCATGTGTTTCCTAGTGGTCACCCGAGTGTACTGGGGTCATCTGACTCAGAGGTGCCACATGTGCTACTACATGCTATCTAAATTACAATCATGAGTACATACCCAGTATGTCAGGAGCCAGGCACAATTGTTGGCTGACTGATACTGACTCCATGCTGGCTAGGAGTCCAGTATGGAAAATGGTGTGGAAATTAGCAGGCAGGTCCTTCAGGTACTCAAATGAATCAGTTCCAGTCCTCTACATTGCTGGTGCAGAATTACCAGATTACACTGATGTTGCAATTTCTAAAATATGTCATATTGTTTATATTTTCCTTGTGCACACCTGTCTCCTGCTTTACATCATTCTAAATTCCTTTTGTAATTTACTTTCTTTATACTATACCTCTTGTCATTAAAATATATGTTCTATGTACCATCCTTGAACTTGTATGAGCATTGTTTAAGTGTCAGCCTATTACAGCTGGTCATGATTGTTTACATGTTTTCATAAATATGATTATAATGAATTACCCAAGCTATACTGACTAAAATTATATACTAGATCTACATATGAGTAGTATGTAAGACTTATGATTAGTTTACTTGAAACATTTGTACATAATTAGTGGTTTTCTTCCAAGTCCTATATTGTACCAGATCTCCACATTATAATAACTGTATAATAACTTATAATAACCAACTTGCATAACTCATAAGAAATAAAAAATAATGCTTATTATTCCTCTTCACTTATGTTTGATCTGCTGGAGTGTTATCCCTGAAATAGAAGTCTGCTGTGGTCCTTACTTTGTGACAACCAGATGTGTTAAGCTACAGTCCCTCCCACTATTGACACAGCTATTACTAGTTCACTTGTAAAGTAATGGAATGTGTGATTAATAGGAGACTAGTGTGGTACATGCAGACCCAGCGATGGAGCGTTCAATGGTCCCTCCTTTTTCTTAATTAATCCATTTCATAGAGTGTGACTATTATCGAAATTGACGATTTACGAAGCCATTTTCCGTATAAGAAATAATGTAAATCAAATTAATTCATTCCAGACACCCAGAAGTATCAACAAAAAAAATTTTTTTTTACCTCAAAAAGAATGAACATTCAACATGACAGTTACCTATATTGAAGGCTGTTGTTGATGGATGGAAGACAGGGAGGAGGGGAGAGGGAAGAGAAGTTATTGTTTCGAAGAGGAATCCCCCTCCATAAGGACTCTAGGTACCAAGTCCTTATCAAGGGTCACTTCCCTAGCTTAAATATGGATTTACATGCAGAAAAGAATGACAAATAAATGTAAAGCACTAATAAAATGTATAAATGAACATTTAACATTACATTTACTTTTATTGAAAACCCTTGTTGGTGTATGGCAGAGGGAGGGGAGCCGAGTTTATTGTTGGAGAATATGACACTAATATCAACTCTACTGCTTATTTATCTATCATAATTCAACTAATATGATATAATAAACAATATTAATAACATAGAAACATGGAATATACTCTAGAATGAATAAAATAAGTCATTATGTATGTCTTGACTGGTGTTGTGTTGTTGTTGTTGGGTGTATAAATGCCACTGAGAGCATAAGCCATACATAATGTTGGTGAAGGCTGCAGCTGAGGCGGCGGTGTTTTCTGAAGCCCTATTAACTCCAACAACATTGGAGGAGTTAGTAGAATCACTGAATCACTGAAGAAGGCACCTTCTACCACCATCACTACCACGCTCTACCACCATCACTACCACCCTCTGCCACCATCACTACCACCCTCTACCACCACCACTTTCATATTTTTCTACAAACTTTTTCTTGAATTATATCGTGTTTCTAACATTCTTTACCAAAGGGCTGGCACTAGAAGCTTTCTTTGGGCCCATGGTGGCTTATTTAGCAGTTGCAAGCACTAAAACAAATGGATTATGAAATGTATCGTATGAATGCATGGGATCGTCCTCACTCGCCGATACACACTGGCACACCGGCTGGGAATGGAGTGTGGGGCCACTCGAAGCGTGCATATGCATTTGGGATGAACGACTATTTGCAAGTCAAATGACAATTCGCGAGTCAATGTTATGATGAAAAAAATCATGATTTTAAAAAATTACGACTTCTGATGCTTACGAAAAATGAGGGACAACTGTATAATAATAATATAATATATATCTTTATTTCTACAAGTACATGTGCAAGGTATACAGGCCTAGCTGATGTCAATGACATAATACTATATAGAAAGCCCCTTGTTATGCAGAGCATTTCGGGCAAATTAGGTCAGTTTTTGTCCCTGGATGCAACCCACACCAGTCGACTAACACCCAGGTACCCATTTTATACTGATGGGTGAACATAGACAACTGGTGTAAGGAAGCACGCCCAGTGTTTCTACCCTCACCAGGAATTGAACACGGACACTCAATGTGTGAGACGAGAGCTTTAGCCACCAGGCCACGGAGCACTGTTAATACTAGTGTGGTACATGGAGAACCAGTGATGGATCGTATGGTTAATACTAGACTAGTGTAGTACAGTAAGGCCCCGCTTTACGGTGTTCCGCTAATACGGTCATTTCAAATTATGCCCTAAACTCTCTGTACGGCTCCCCCCACCTGACTTTGTAATACGATCACCGCACCCCACCCTGTTTGTTTACATTCTCCATGAGCTCCGTAAGCACCATGTCTCTCCATTGTGTCTGGAAATTCCAAAATTTCAAGTATTTTTAACCCTTTGGGGGTTTCGGATGTACTAGTACGTCTAACGACCCAGGGTTTTTGACATACAGTGGACCCCCGCATACCGTTGGCATCACATAACGTAAAATCCGCATACCGATACATTTTATCGCTAAGATTTTGCCTCACATACCGCTAAAAAACCCGCTCAACACTATTCGTCCGAGACGCGTCTAATGTGCGGCCTGAGCCAGCCTCACATGTTCCGCCGGTGGCATTGTTTACAAGCCAGCCTCCGCGGTAACATCCAAGCATACAATCAGAACATTTCGTATTATTACAGCATTTTTGGTGATTTTATCTGCAAAATAAGTGACCCTGTTGTCCACAGGGCTGAGGAAGGGTTGTTGAGGTGGTTCGGACATGTAGAGAGAATGGAGCGAAACAGAATGACTTCAAGAGTGTATCAGTCTGTAGTGGAAGGAAGGCGGGGTACGGGTCGGCCTAGGAAAGGTTGGAGGGAGGGGGTAAAGGAGGTTTTGTGTGCGAGGGGCTTGGACTTCCAGCAGGCATGCGTGAGCGTGTTTGATAGGAGTGAATGGAGACAAATGGTTTTTAATACTTGACGTGCTGTTGGAGTGTGAGCAAAGTAACATTTATGAAGGGATTCAGGGAAACCGGCAGGCCGGACTTGAATCCTGGAGATGGGAAGTACAGTGCCTGCAATCTGAAGGAGGGGTGTTAATGTTGCAGTTTAAAAACTGTAGTGTAAAGCACCCTTCTGGCAAGACAGTGATGGAGTGAATGATGGTGAAAGTTTTTCTTTTTCGGGCCACCCTGCCTTGGTGGGAATCGGCCAGTGTGATAATAAAAAAATAAAAAAATAATAAGTGACCATGGGCCCCAAGAAATCTTCTAGTGCCAACCCTGTGGTAAAAAGGGTGAGAAATATTATCGAAATACTGTGGTACCATGGTCAACTGCTGATGCTGCTGCTGCTGTAGCACTGTCAGCTGCTGCTGCTGCTGTAGCACTGTCAAATGCTGCTGCTGCTGTAGTACCATCTGCTGCTGCTGTAGCACCATCTGCTGCTGCTGTAGCACCATCTGCTGCTGCTGTAGCACCGTCTGCTGCTGCTGTAGCACTATCAGCTGCTGCTGTAGCACTGTCAGCTGCTGCTGTAGCACTGTCAGCTGCTGCTGCTGCTGCACTGTCAGCTGCTGCTGCTGCTGCTGCTGCTGCTGTAGCACTGTCAGCTGCTGCTGCTGCTGTAGCACCATCAGCTGCTGCTGCTGCTGTACCTCCGTCAGCTGCTGCTGCTGCTGTAGTACAGTCTGCTGCTGCTGTAGCACCGTCTGCTGCTGCTGTAGCACTGTCAGCTGCTGCTGTAGCACTGTCAGCTGCTGCTGCTGCTGCTGCTGTAGCACTGTCTGCTGCTGCTGCACTGTCAGCTGCTGCTGCTGCTGCTGTAGCACTCTCGGCTGCTGCTGCTGCTGTAGCACCATCAGCTGCTGCTGCTGCTGTACCACCGTCAGCTGCTGCTGCTGCTGTAGTACCGTCTGCTGCTGCTGTAGCATCGTCTGCTGCTGCTGTAGCACTGTCAGCTGCTGCTGTAGCACTGTCAGCTGCTGCTGTAGCACTGTCAGCTGCTGCTGCTGCTGTAGCACCGTTGTTGGTGTGGCTTATTGAGAATACCAAGAAACAATTAACCCCAGAGGATTTGCCACCCAGGATAACCCAAAAAAGTCAGTGTCATCGAAGACTGTCTAACTTATTTCCATTGGGGTCCTTAATCTTGTCTCCCAGGATGCAACCCACACCAGTCGACTAACACCCAGGTGAACAGGGAAAAACGCCTGGAACTAGTGCTCATATTGGTGAATTTAAAGCCAGCAAAGGTTGGTTTGAGAGATTTAAGAATCGTAGTGGCATACACAGTGTGATAAGGCCTGTTCTGGAAGAAAATGCCAAACAGGACCTACAGTACTCAGGAGGAAAAGGCACTCCCAGGACACAGTGTCTCATCAGTCATTGCTGCATCTTCAATAAAGGTAAGTGTCATTTATTCTTCATTTAGTAGAGTAGTACATGCACAATATATATTGTGCATGTACTACTCTACTATTGTGCATGTATCCTTCTCTTTGTGTGGTAAAAATGTGGTAAAAAAAATTTTTTCATACTTTTGGGTGTCTTGCCCAGATTAATTTGATTTCCATTATTTCTTATGGGGAAAACTCATTCGCATAACGATAATTTCGCATAACAATGAGCTCTCAGGAACAGATTAATATCATTATGCGGGGTTCCACTGTGCTAGTACACCTAAATTCTAGCGCCCTCAAATCTAGTGAGAGAAAGCTGGTAGGCCTACATATGAAAGAATAGGTCTATGTGGTCAGTGTGCGCAGTATAAAAAAAATCCTGCAGCACACAGTGCGTAATGAGAAAAAAAAAATTTGACTGTGTTTTTGGATTAAAACAGTGATTTAGCATTGTATTTTCGTATGGTATTTATTGTTGTATTCTAGTTTTCTTGGTCTCATTTTATAGAATGGAAGACATATTACAGAAATTTGGATGATTTTGACTGGTTTTACAATGAAAATTACCTTGAAATTGAGCTCAAAGTAGCAGAAATTTTCGATTTTTACCAAAGTTCAAAAGTAAACAAATCATGCCACGCATCCAATACACATCAACTGGTGAGTCTAATATTCTTTCACAAGTGCGCTGATATTATTTATACCATTTCTACACTAATGCAGTAGTCTGCATAACAGTAAATCTCATTTTTTTTGTAAGAATAAAAATTCAAAGTGGAACGATAAAGAAATATAAGAGGGGCCTGGGGATGTGACTAACGAACAGAGAACTTATTTTAGTGCCAGGAATGTCTTTCTTGTTTATTCCGGATCCTATTCGGAAATTGGCATCTTTTGAAATTTGTGTGACATTGGCAAAATTGCTAAATTCTGACCACTTTATTGGATAGTTGAAATCAGTAAATGGGTGCTTTCTTGTACTCATTTGATAGAA